CGCGGCGGGGCGCAGCGCTGGGCCAGCAGGCGCAGGACGGCGTGGGTGGCGGCGCGCAGGCCCTGCAGGCTGAGGTCGCCGCGCTGCAGCCGCCGGTACAGGTGGGGCTGCGACACCTCCTTGACGTTCTGCAGGAACTGGCGGGTGATGAGCAGCGTGGCCAGCATCTGGGGGCACGGACACACGCGGCGGGGGTCAGGCCTGCCTGGCTCCCCCCCCGGTCCCCTTGCTGCCGAGGGTCGGTGCCTCGTCAAGCGTTTGGGCGGAGGCAGGGGGGCAAGCACCCCTGGGGCAGCAAGGGGAGACAGGCGATGGGGTTAATCGACTGTGCGGTGGCCACAGCCTGGGATCTGGCCAGCTGTGACCCACCGGGGCTGAGACTGACCGCGGTCATCACACACCCCACAGAGAGCACGCATGCGGGAGCACCTGCACACTGCCCCCTCCCTCCCACCGGTCCCATCGATGGGACCCAGGAGAGGCTCCGCGCCCCCCACCCAGCGGCCTGGGGTCCGGATGGGAGCTGGAGGGCACCCCCATGCCCGATCCCCCCGGCACCTGCCAGCACCCCGCGGGGTCCTTGCTCTCCTGCCTCCAAAGCCTGGGGGGGGATGGGTCAGCGCTGCGCTGCGGGTGCACTTGGGACCAGCCAGGCGCATGCAGCCGGGGGCATGCAGGGCCCGGCCCCCCCTGCTCCTACTTTGGATACGGCCAGTCTCCAGCAAAACCCCAGGAGGCCCTTAAGGGAGATGAGAAAGAGGTGGAGTTGGAGAGTAATGGAGGGAAGGAGCGCGTCTTTGAGCTGACGCACGAGGCTTTGGGACAGAGAGAAGATGAGCAGGAGCTGCGGAAGGGACAGAAGAAGAGAGAGAGAAAGAGAGACGATGAAAAGGAGGTGCCGCTCGGACCCGACCCCAGGCCCCGGCGGGCACGGCATGCGGATGGCAGCGGGAAGGGGTGGCAGGAGGGATGCAGGGATCAGCCAAGGGGGAGACCGGCCAGGTGCCCTCGGGGAGGCTTAGGAGCCCGGGACCCGGCTGGATTCAGGCCTCTGTGGAGCCGGGGCTGGGGGCCCCCGGGCCGGTGCTGGTGGCGGTCGCTCCCGGGCCACGGGGTGCACGGGACGGAGCTGAGACCCTAGCTGGTTCCCCGGGGAGTGCCCCCGTCTGCGCCGGGCGAGCTCCCACGCCGGCCCCGCGCCCGCCCTTACCTCCTTCAGCCGCTCCATGTCTTTGAGGTAGAAACCGATGTAGAAAAGACTTAGGTACGAATTTACAAACTGAAACTGTCGGGGAGGAAGAACCAGAGTCAGCCCATGACGCACCTGGGGGCAGCCGCACGCGGTCCCCCGCCTGCCCCAGCCCCGGACGAGTCCCATCGCGCTGGCATGGGGGGGATCGAACCCGTGACCTCCCGCAGCCTGAGCTAATGGGGGAACTCCCCGGGGGAGGATGCAATGGGAACAAGGGCAGCTGACCAGTCCGGGCGATGGGAGGGGGCAGTGAGTCCGCCAGGCCCGACTCACCAGGACGATTTTGATGATGAGGTGTTTCTCGTAGGCACTCTGCAGGCGGTAGTTCTCTGGAGCAGAAAGGAGAGAGGCGCTCAGCCCGGGGCTGCGGGGAATAGAGAGCGGGGGGCGAGTGAGGGGCTCCAGCCAACCCCTCTCCCCCCTCGGGGCTGGGTCACCCCCGCCCCAAGCCCGCGGCTGGTGGCTGAGTTCAGCCGGCGGGGTCCCAGCCAGGCCAGGGGGTTGCTGCACAGGAGGGACCCCCTGGTGAGACCCCTGAGCTTGGGGAGGAGGCGGCGAGGCTGGGCTGGAGGGAAGCAGCCCCCGGGGAGGACGGAGCCAGCCCGCGCCCCAGCCCGCGCCCCGACGCACCCATGTCGTTGAGCCAGTAGGCAATCTTCTTGTAGACCTCGTCGCACGTGGTGACGATGATGGCCAGGACGATCTTGGGCAGGAAGCGGACGATGCGGGGCAGCTCCTTGATGCTCAGCACGAACTCCTGCAGGGGCAGGGATGTCACCTCCAGGGACGTGACGGGGAGGCACCGAGCCACGGGGGCGGACGTTGGTCCCTGCTGCTGCCCCGGTGCCGGCAGGGCAGGGGGCTTAGCACAGAGACCCCGTTTGCCTCTCCTCCACCCCAGGCAGGATGGGGCCGAGCACCGTGGCCACACACTGGCAGGTCACACGTGCACACGCACATGCAGATACCAGTGTCCTATGCACGCGCATGCATTACACACACACACAGCCCTCCGTGTCCTCTTGCCCTGCTGCGGGGGCAAGACCTGCCTGCCCCCGGCACACGGGCCGTGCGGATTTGGCACAAGGGGTCCACGGGCTGGGGAGGGGGCAGCAGAGCCGGGGCCAGGCAGGGCGTCACCCACCTGGAGCTCGAAGCAGCCCAGCATGACGAGGAAGACGCAGGTGAGGCAGAAGAGGCAGACGGGCAGGCTGACCAGGCACTGGAAGAGCAGCCGCTTCCAGGGTGGGTAGTAAAACTCCTCGGCGTTAGTCACGGGGCTGATGCGCTTGGTGCCCTGGGGAAAGGGGCAGTATGAGACCCCCCCCAGGGCTTTGCTCATCCCTGTCAGGCCCCCCCAAGTGCTGGGGGCACCCCAAGCATGGCAGTCCCCGCAGCCACCCCCCACTGCTCACCCTGAACTGCGGCCGGGGCTCCTCAATGGACTCGGCGGGGGTGTCCAGCGTCCCCCACTTGTAGGCGAACTCGGCCCCCCGGCGCTTCCACTCCTCCAGGAAGAGCGTGGCCCAGATGACATTGAAGATGGCGAAGACCACGCAGCACACATCCCGGCTGGTCTGGGGCCGTGGGGGCACAGGCAGCCGGTGGTGAGGGGCAGGGACGCAGGAGTCCCGACGGCCTCTGTTCCCCCTGCCCCGTCCTACCCCCCCGAGGGCAGACCCCAGGAGTCCCCGCCTGCGCCCGCACGGCCCCTCACCTGGTCGCTCTCGGTGAAGGTGTAGAGGATGGAGCCGAAGACGGCGGGGTAGACCATGGCCGAGGTGTAGAAGCCCAGCCAGGCAAAGTACATGGCGATCTTCACCCCAAAGTAGTCGCAGATCTCATCTGCGGAGGGGGCAGCGGTCAGGGCTGGCTGGGGCGGGGGGACACTGGAGACGGGCTCCAATTCCCAAGAGCCCCGGGGGCTCGCATCTGTCTGGGCGCGCGGGTGGAGGGGGCAAAGCTGGGCCTGACTGGCTACCAGCCCCTTCTGGGGGGCATGCCCCTTCCCCAGACCCACCCCAGCACCAGGGACCCGGCTGGAGCCCAGGTGCCTACCGAGGGGCTGCGACTCGCAGATGGCCTGCACCCAGGACTTCATCAGACGCTTGAGGATCCGCTGCTCATGGAGGGGGAAGACCTGCTGGATCACGCCACGGGCCGCCAGCTCCGAGACTGCGCCGGGGGCAGGAGGGGGTGAGTTCAGCTGCCCCCCCCCACCACCTCCCCAAGCCATGTGCTCTGCCCAGCACGGAGCAGGGGGCCCCTT